CCTCCCTTCCTCCCTCCTGCCTGTGGCGCCTTCCTCAGGAGTAGTGCGCGGCCTGCAGCCTGCTGTTTTCCCCCGGCTGTAGCGAGGAGGCCGTGACTTCTGGGCTGGAGTGTTGTTAGACGCTTTCACAAGCACTTTTGTGTGAAATGGGTGGTTGCGTTTCCGTCCAGGATAACAGGATCTCTGTTTGGGCTGTTGGAGATCATGGAAATGTGGGCGTCAATGGCGCCTTCCTCAGGAGTAGTGCGCGGCCTGCAGCCTGCTGTTTTCCCCCGGCTGTAGCGAGGAGGCCGTGACTTCTGGGCTGGAGTGTTGTTAGACGCTTTCACAAGCACTTTTGTGTGAAATGGGTGGTTGCGTTTCCGTCCAGGATAACAGGATCTCTGTTTGGGCTGTTGGAGATCATGGAAATGTGGGCGTCAATGGTGAATATCAAGGAGAACCTCAGCTGCTGTGTGACATCAGGCACAACGGTGATGTTATGGACATGCAGGTAAAGCAGCTGTATTGAATAGATCTGTATTTGCTGAGGGCTTGTCACTTAGGAGTAATTGTGATAATGAAATGTCAGAATGCTGAGAGTCACACACACACACACACAAATCTTATGATTAAGAAGGGCAAACCCAGCCAGTATCAGTTTGTGGGTTTAGGATGTGTGGTTTTGTTGTTGGTGTGGGTTTTTTTTTTAACTAGACCTACCAATAATTTAGGTTGTTCTAAAACCAAAATGATCATCTAGGTATTGGCATCAACTAATAGCACACTTAATATCTCTCCCTAGTTTTTGGATGAAGAGAGAATTGTGGTTGCCTCATCAACAGGAACTGTAACTATATTCCGTCATCATCAAAATAATCAGGTAAGTAACTTGCTACTTGTGTAATACAGGTCATTGATCTTGGTGTAACATTCTCAAAAATACTAGAGTGAGAAACACCTGGACAGCAAAATCAAATTTTTGAAGTCTGTTATAGAAAGGTTTGGCTTTATACATACAAGGAAAGAAACACAAAACACAGATTTTTAGCACATGGGCTACATAAATTAGATTCCAGAGCCAGATTGTTGAGAGAAATTTAGATCTCTGATTATTTGTGTAGGAGATTCTAATTTCTGTGAGGTAGTGTGGCTTTCCTGGAGGTTGTTTCTGGTTTTGTGAGTGTTCTGGAAGCTTTGTTCTATCAGTATCGTTACTTACCAGCAGAATTTCATGTCTGGTTACTACTTAGACTTTATCTGCCAACCAGCGGTGGGAGAAAGCCCATTACCATGTGAATCAAGACACATCTGGTGGCGGAGCAGCATGTACCGGAGTCATCTGCAACAACCCAGAAATTGTCACAGTTGGAGAAGATGGTAGAATAAATCTCTTCAGAGCTGACCAAAAGGATGCAGTTAGAACTATAGGTATGTCAAATAACTGCTCAAATTAGCTTCGTTTGGAGTGGCTTGTTTGGTTTTTAGCTTCTCAAATGATAACTCCCCAAAAAAGTGAGTCAGTTGAGAATTGATAATTCCTATATTCTTCTAGACTTGAGATACTTGATGTGTATTTCAGATGTGTTTTTATATTCATTGAGATATTTCCAAGTTTGTTTTAACTGACAGACAAGTTTCAAACTTAACATTCTCTGTAGGATTCTGTTTAATCTAAAATGGTTAAATACTATGACAGTATATGTGAAATATGGTTAGACTTCAGGAAGTATTGTGTCCCAAGCTCCTCATAACCAGAGGTCAGTGGAACAGTCATTTGAATTTGCTATTTGTACTAAGATTAACCTTCATGGTGTCCATATTCAAAAACATCTACTTCTCTGTCTAAAGGAACACCAAGAACCAGAAATCATGGTTTGTACCCTGTTCCCTAGGTGTTGTGGCTTACAGTGCTCACTTCTCCCTAATTGAATAAAGCTCACTCTTTACTCGCGTAATAGATTATGCGGCAGAGTAGGATGTTTGTGAAAGGTTTTAGAACTTGGTTATTCTGAACTCTGTCATGCTGGTCTCATGGAAATAGAATACAACTTTGTAGCATCTGTTGGAAATGGAACTTAGAAGCAGAAATAATTTAAAGGACAGTAGCACTGTGTTTGATAGTGGCATTACTAAGCTGGGACGTTCTCCCCGAAACTTCAGTTTGACACAGCACCTGTTTCTCCCAAGGAAAATCATGCCTCTAGTGGATGAAGGGATTTACACAGTGATAAGCCAATTAAGGAAGTGCGTGCTCTGGGATGTACTTGTGTGTCTGCGTGGCTGTATACACACACACAATAAATCCTATTAATTGCATACAGCCCTTTACTGAAGCTTCTTAAGAATTCCTGTAGGGAACCTGTCTATATGTGGTTGTTGTGGTGTGTTTGGTGGTTTTTTTGGTTGTTTTTTTTTCTTAAAAAAAAGAGGTAGCAGGGCTTGTGGCAGATTTTATTAACACATGCCCACAAAACACAGTAACTTCCTCTTTGAGAGGCAACAACACTAACTAGTTTGAAGGGATTATATTATTTTAAAGTTGTACCAGAACACCCTGTGTGAATATCTGTATATAAGTAAAAATATTTTAAAATAATAGAATGGCTTGCTGACTCACAGGAAGTAGATATTTAAAAAAAAAATCCATATTTTTTTCTGGCAGCTGCTCAGGTGCTTACATACAGACCTAATGATATGCAGGATGCAAGTTGTTAATTTTCTTAGGGCTTGCTTGATGGCACTGTGAAAATGTTTGCTTTGTAGTGGTAGCATCAGCCAGTGTTACATTGCTGTAAGACTGCGCTGGGGTTTCCTGGTGCATAAACATTTAAGAACTCCCATGTGAATTAATTGAGAAACATCCTTTTGGAAATAGGAAGGGAAATGTTAAAATAGGGATGGTCCATAGGTAAGTCAGTCATAGCTATGACCTGGTAAGTGAAGCTTACCTGGAGTTAGGTGGATGGGATTAGCACAAACTCATTGACTAGGGACTTTTTTCCAATAGAAGTTGGAGAGGGAGGAGAGAACATCTTGGAAAATGGTTTTAAGTTTTTTCAGGATGAAGTTCTATCATGTAAGCAATCCTTTGTACTGGTTCACAGTTCAGTGACATCTTGACATTTCCCAGGTGCTGAGCTGAACCCGCAACATGTTTTAACATGAAGATAGAACTCTTGTACATCATGAAATGTTTGTAAAGGAGTACCTTCATATTTTTGTTACTGTTTAATGGATCTGTATTAAACATACAGAGTTGATATGTTTATAGTCAACTGCGGTAGGAAAAAGTCTCCCAAGTTAATGATGTAAAAATCTTTCTGGAGCCATAAAGATGTATCATTCATAAAATTTTCCTGACAGAATAAGTGATTTAAGTCCTTTAGAACTTCAGTGTTCAGTAGTGTAACATTTATATTTCAAGATGTTGGTGGGTTTCTTTCTCTTCCGCTCATCTTTCATTTAAATAGTACACAGCAAAGAAAACACACTGATGCCTGGTTACAGATACCTGAATGAAACTTGTCTGTCTCAATATTGGAAAAGGTTTACAGCTTATGTGGCAAAAAATTCACCTATATTTTCAGTGTGGACTTCCGCAAAGAATGTTGAAGTGAAAGTAGACTTAATGTTACCCCGTCATAATCAAGGCGAAAAGTTTATACGTAAACAACAGAATGAAGATGGAAGATTATAGTGTCTGTTATTCTCTCCTAGAGCCTCAGGTTTCACCTCAATGCTGTGAAGTGTTTGACATTGTAAATAATTCTGGCCAAAGAAGCACTGGAGAAAAGGACCTGAAAAAAGAGCTTTGCCATTTAGTTATTGAGATTAACAAGTAAAGCATAATTCTGGTTTGGCCTTAGAGGCAGGGATGGATATCACATTGATAGTTCTTGGAGAAGGTCTAAAACTTAGTGAATTAAGTGCTTCTGTATACAACTGCTTGATGTTCTCGGGCAGTGTTCCTGTTTCTTGTGTTTAAAAGAACTAATGTTCTCCTGTTTCTTGTGTTTAAAAGAACTGCATTATGTGAAGCTCCGTAGCCTGCCTCCTGTCGGTAGATGCAGAGCATATAAAGAAAATGCTTATGAAAACCGTAGACCTGGCTAAATTGATTCCTCCTTTTTGGGAACTATAGAAAGAAATCTTGTGGATCAACAAGTAGTTCTGCAAGCACCGGAGCTAATTAAATACAGCTTTTCACAATTTGTCTCACTAATGTTTGATAGGGTACCCTTGCAACACTTAACATGTCATGTGACATTGGTCTGCCTCTCTGCCCCTGAAAATGCAGAGAGGTTGTAACCATGTTTAAGCAGCTGTGTTCTGTCTTCTAGAAAGAGTTACTTGGCATTAGTATGCTGTAGGTTGACCTGCATGCTTTCCTTGTCTCTTGCAGACAATGCAGACAGCAGTACGCTCCATGCGGTGACTTTCCTTCGCATAACTGAGATCTTGACAGTAAATTCGATTGGACAGTTAAAAATATGGGACCTCAGACAGCAAAGAAATGAGCCATCTCAAATATTTTCTTTGTAAGACTTTTTTTTTACGTATTTATTGAGAAGCATGTGCTACTTTATAGAATCTGATTTAAATCTTTACTGATGCCTTCTTGACAATGGGATGATAAATGACTGATTTTTTTTATGTTTTCAACTTATTTGGTATTTAAATAATCAAAAGCAGACTCTGCTTAATGGCTGAATTATTGTTGTGGCTGAGCATTATGTAGGTGGCCTGTTCTGTGATTTGGCTCTTTGAAGGACTGTTGTACCTGTACACTTGATCTTTTTGGAGGGGGTAAACACCCGCAACCCAAAATTCACTCTTCTCACTCTCCCTGAGTAAATATACTCCATACATTTACTCTACAGGACTCCATAGGACTAATGTAAGGTTTCTGGCATTTGAAATGTATTTGAATGATAACTTTGTGCCTTATAAGGTATTGTGAGAAAACAAACTGAGCTAGATTTAAATACTGTTTTGTGGAATAATTCCCATTGGTGTTATTAGGCTGTGGTTTAGGAAGCTGGTTTTGTTAATACCCAGTCTCCCTTTGTAACTGTTAGTATATGATGAAACTGTAATTATAATACGAATTTCGAAGTAACCTTCTCATTGTAGGTAGTCTTAGTGTTATCTGTAGGCAGTGTTTTCTCACTTGGGTAAAGCTGTTGGATACCGTGTGGATGTCTGTGTACCACAGGGCACGGAACCTCATGCTCATCCAACTGTAGCTTCACGTTATTGCCATACCTCTGACTTCCAGTAGATGTCATGCAGCTTCAGCCTGTAGTGACCAGATGGTGCAGGAATTGAAGCCGCAGCCAATAGCATTACCTTCTTCGTCAGTGCAGAAGGAGAAAATGGAAGCTGAATGAAGAATTCCTGGTTTGTTTTGGGTTTTTTTCTTGTCCTTCGCAGGACAGGTGACAGAGTCCCACTGCACTGCGTGGACAGGCATCCCGATCAGCAGCATATCGTGGCCACAGGGGGCCAGGATGGGATGCTGAGTATTTGGGACATCAGGCAGGGTACTATGCCAGTGTCTCTGCTAAATGCGCATGAAGCAGAAAGTAAGTATATATAAGTTCTGATAAAAAACTACCAAAAGGTGGTGTAGCTAGGATAGAAAACAGTCACACAGTTGCTACTTAATGTGTTGTTATCCAGTTGGCTTCAGTTTGTTCCTTGCCTGTATATGAGATTGTTCTTGCCTAAAAGCTAACTCTAAACTAAAGCTAGAATTAGTAAGCAGCTCTTTAATGAGTCATTATAGTCACAGCCAACCAGAATGGCTGTGTTTCTAGTAGGGTACGTGTATTAATTGCCATAGATGTGGATGCTGTAGTACGCGGGTGAGAATGCAGTTACTAACAAACCTGAAAATGTGGGGCAGGAGGGGGAACTGTCTTTTCTGTTTTCCTCCCAGAGCAAACTGCGGTTAACTAAGGTGGGGGTTTGGCCCTGGGTTCTTCTAATTCTTGTCCACATCGTGCTAGCCAAAGTTCACAGAGGGAACTGTTTTTTCTGTTTTCCTCCCAGAGAAAACTGCAGTTAATAACTAAGGGTGGGGGTTTGGCCCTGGGTTCTTCTAATTCTTGTCCACATCGTGCTAGCCAAAGTTCACAGACTGAAATACTTGATAGTTGTTCTGAAGTGGTTTTGTTTTGGTTTGATATTTCCAGTGTGGGAAGTTCACTTCCATCCCTCCAACCCCGATCACTTATTTACATGTTCTGAAGATGGATCTCTTTGGCACTGGGGTACTTCCACAGACATATCTGACAAACCATCTTTTCTTCATCAAGGTAAAGGTGTTTGCGGTCGGTGTGCACTGAATTAGTCAGTTGGCAATGTAATTGAAGTTAGTGTTCTCGCAGGACCCACTTACAACACAGACCTACTACAAAAGTTGGTTTGCTTTCTTAGAAAGAAAGCCCTGATAGTCACTACAGGGACACTGCTTAGAAGGCTAACAGTTGTGGTGTGCAGTTTTTGATGTCTCTGTGGGGTTGTTTTGAGGTTTGATGGGGTTTTTTGGTTTGTTTTAAATCTGCTGTACTCTGTCGGGTGTGTGAAGGGGCATATGTAGTGTGTATAGACAAACTGTGTTCACTTTAAATCACCCGTATGTAGAAAAGACGTGAAGGCAGCCGAAATAACACATTACTGTCTGAGTCTCCAAGGAAGATGTATGAAATGTTATAATACCAAAATAATTGATACGTGAATAGGATAGTGGAGTTATTAATTTACTCTTCAAGGTTGTAATCGGAACTTACAGTGAATGAAACTGGATCCCTTTGTGTTGTCAGGTTTTTAATTAAAGGTATGGTACTGACTTCGTAAACATTTCTGTACATGTTCTAGTCAGAAGGACTACTTGATTGCTTGCCACTTCAGACTATAAACCGTGGGGACACTTTCAGATGTCCTCTGCTGCCTTTGGCCTCTAAATTCCCATTCAAAGCTTAGTTTTGTACAGGGAAACAGTAGAGTAACCAATTCAGGTTGCACTTTGCATGTTTTAAGGTATGTTAAATAAAACCTTTAGCACCGTTTCAGCCCACTGCTAATTTTGTTAAATGATAGCTCTTAAACGGAGAGATTTCAGTTTGAACATTAAATGTTCTGTGAAAGAAATTCAGAGCCAAAGCCAGGTTATATCACTTGCTGCAGAACCGGTAGGGAATAGGTGTTAGTGAGCAAAGCTGTTGCCCCAGACAGAGCAAGACTCTGTATAAACAGACAGGAGGTCTGTCTTCACTTTAGTCTCTGGCTAGAAAGACTTGGTGATACTTGTGTGTTCAGCATGATGAGTTCATAGCTGTACTGACCCGTTTGTTTTAACTGAGGATGGAGCTGGTAGCAGGTTTCTCTGATCACTTTAAGTACTTAATGTGGGTTTTTGAAGCTATTTTTTTCCCTCATTTACCAAGGAGATGACAACATCTGTTACCTAACCTGAAAACTGACTTGAATGTAAAATGATATTCCCACTATGTCTGTACTATGCCTACTATGTTTCTCCAAATTCTGACAATATATCAACTAAATTGGAACTCATTTCCCTCTTTTCCTTCCTACAGGAGGAAGAAGTACTACCTATTTTTCACACAACACCATGAACCAGTCTGTAGTAAGTGCCTGGCTGAGCAACGATCCTACCAAAGACCGCGTGGAAATCACCAACTTAATTCCAAATCAGACTTTGTCTGTGAATAGTTTAGATGTTTTAGGACCATGCCTAGTATATGGTACTGATGCAGAAGCTATTTATGTGAGCAGACAACTTTTTGCATGAAACGGCTCCAGTATCCCTTTGAAGTACTGATCCCCTCAAACTACTGGGAAACGTCAGGTTCATTCTTAATGACACTCATTAGTCTGTTACCAGCGTGTGGGTGAGAGGCCTACAGCTTGGTCCTGGTACTGCAGAAGAAGAAATGTAAGGTGCCTCAGATTCTGAAAGCTGCCACTGGTGCTTGATGCTGCAGGATGAGTAACTGGTTACATGTAAGCTTGCTCTCATTTCTTCCCTGGTGCCTGTTGGGTTTGTACACAGGAAGGCAGTCACCAGGGCAAGGTATCTGCTGTAAACTGGTAACTGTAACACACGTGTGCATACGGAGTGAAGAAAAGGTGAACCCCTGCGGTTTAAGGTTTGGTCGTTGGTTTTTGTTTTCCTGTAAAGATATTTTTTTCAAGTATTAATTCTAAAGCCAAACTATGGGATTCTTTTGAAATTCTTTTTGTATCACCTGAGATGGGTTTTTTTTTATCTGAGGGGTTTTTTAAAATGTATTTAGGGGACAGCTTTTTATGTTAGTCTGTGAGAACTGGCAAGAAAAACTGTTAAAGCTGTGAAATGTGAAAGGTTCTGTAAGGATCTCCATGTTTTAGTAGCGCTATTTACATACAACTTGCAACGGAAAAGTGGGGCTTCTTTTACAGTTAAGTGGTCATAACTGACGTACGCATTGGTGGTGTTTTCGGGTGTGAGAGTAAGACTTCCTAAACTGGAGACACGGTCTTTTGTCACAGTCGACGTTTCGCATCCCATCTGCCGCGGTGTTGACGTGTCAGTCTTGCGTTGTACCTGCCTTTAGCTGCAGAGAGCCCCCCCCTTTTTAATAAAAAGTTTTTAGCACAAGAACACTGGGCTGACTCGCTGAATTAGCTCCAGTAGGTGCGGGCATCTTTGCAGGCAGGCAAATAGCGCTAAGTTATTTGGACCGATCCCGGGGATTCCCTCCGGCCTTCAGGCTGTTACACCAGGGCTGGGGCAGCAGCGGATTCAGACTGAAGGTGTTACACGGCATTTTCCCTTCGGAGCGTACTGCACTCGTGCGCCGGCGAGAGCAGCCGCCCTCATCTCCTGTGAGCAGGATCCCTTACGCGCTCAGAACCTGCGGGGGCGAGGGGCGGTGCGCTGGGGTCGCTGCCCAGCGGCGCGTCAGAGGGTGG